CCTCCTCCTCCTCCTCCTCCTCCTCCTCCTCCTCCTCCTCCTGTTCGGGCAGACGCGCGTCGAGGCCATCACCCCGCCGAGCGCTCTGGCACCGCCCCGCTCGGAGGTCCGCGTGCGAGCTCCTTCCTGGCGTCCCGAAGCCAACTGTGTACGACCTTGTTGACCAGTCGAGGCTCATGCCCTCCATGCTTCTGACCTCCTTCGATCCTCATCTGCGAACTCCCCCGCTTCATAACCCCCCCTGGTCATACTATGTCATACTCCTCCTCCAGCTCCTCCGCTTCCTGCTCCTATTACTTATTACCATCCCTCCTTCCCCGGATGCGATCGCTACTCATCAAGTCCATCCCTCCTCGCACCCTGCAAAAACGCACACACCTCCCAGTGCTCTTCCTATTCCTCCTTCTCTACTTTGCGCTCACTGGGGCACCACAACAAACAATAATGTCGCCATTCAGTCCAAGTTGTGTTCGGCAAATGGCGCAAGCGTATGGGTAATTACTATGGTTTCTTGGTTTGGCGATCTCTCCAGAGACTAAGCACAACGAAATCAATGCAGACCAGATAGGGGTGTTCAGCTGAGGAATACAATCTGCAAAGCAAGCTGACTAATCAGAAAATGACTAATCAGAAAATGAGGGAAGTGGTGCTGATCTGGAAGCCAATCTCACACAATGCACCTCGAACAGAAGCACTTAAAGAAATCCAAAGGCGAGTGCCGAGGCAAAGTCAAACCCGCATCTGGGGCCACATATAGGCCTGGCCTGGCGAGAATTGACGCCAGCGCGCCACTGGCAGATCCGAATGAGCTACCCAAAGATCCGACGCCGTGATTTTTTCAGTACGGGGTCACCGGAGGTCTCAACCCATTCCCCAGGACTGGTTTTTCATCGTGAGTCGTTCCTTGACGGGCCCGGGGCCCAGCGAGGGCCCCCCGAGGCCGCAAACTGCGAAACACCTCCGTCTTGTTTTTTTCAGTACGTTGGATCTCTGGGTGCGGGCCCCGTGCGCGACACGTCGCTGGCCGGTGCTGGCCGAGGGCGCCTCGGCGCGCAAGAGCGCCACGCAGCGAGCCCCCAGCGCCGTGAACAGTGGCTCCGAGCGCCGCCCCAGCGTGGCGTAGGCCTGCGCGCCGAGAGAGGAGAGGAGAGGAACGGCTGCTGCACCGACCTCGGTCTGGTTGCACGTGGTTGCTCCTCCTCCTCATCCTCCTCCTCCAAATCCTCCTCCTCATCCTCCAAATCCTCCTCCTCCTCCTCCTCCTCCTCCTCCTCCTCCTCCTCCTCCTCCTCCTCCTCTTCCTCCAAATCCTCCTCCTCCTCCTCCTCCTCCTCCTCCTCCTCCGCCTCCTCCGCCTCCTCCATCTGGTTGCACATGGTTGCAGGCCTGCTGCGCGTTGGCTGCTCTCTGGGGCTCTCGGGGGAGGAGGAGCAGGAGGTCGGCAGGCTCTCGGATTCTGCAGCGACGGCGCCCCGTGTGCGCGCCCTGGCGAGTGCCAGGCCCTGGCGAGTGCCTGCTGAGGGTGCATCTTGCTCCTCCTACCTCCTGCTGCTCCCCCTCCTCCCCAACTCCCCCCTTCGGACTCGCGGACTTCAAACCACTCACTCTCTCTCTCTCTCTCGCTCTGTCTTCCCGCATCCCCGGCACCCCCTCCCCGCCCAGGCTCCCAATCCGCCGTCCCCCGCACTCCCCTCGAGAGGGAGGCGGCGGCGGAGGAGGGGGAGGTCGAGGAGTTCTAGGAAGAAGGGGGGGCCAGTGTCAGCCATGGGCCGTAAGTGAAACCGAAGATATGAAGGGGCTCAAGGACACAAACATAAATACACACCAATAAAAATATTCCCCACATGTTCCATATTTGTTCTGAGTTCTTGTCTTCCCCCCACTTCCCATAGTTTCCCATATTTTCTAGGGAATCGACGATTCATGGTGTCTGTGTGCTTTTTTGCCCCTCCTGAAGATAGACAAGCAAAGTGGAGGCTCCCGCGCCAGACCTGCGCCCTGCCCCCTCTGCCCCCCTGCCCCCCACTCGACAGGCAAATCGCCAGCGAAGAGGTGTTTTTTTTTTTTTGTTGAGCTCAACGCCCGCGCACAGCCTTGGCGAACACAGCAGCGGCGGCTGGGACAGCGCTGCTGGCAGTGAGGGAGAGACCTCGCTGACCGAAAGAAGACCTCCAGCAGCCCCATGGGCTGGGAGGCACAGGCCGCACGACGGGCGACCGCCCCGTGGCCAGGGACGGAGAGAGAAGCTCGAAATGGATCCGATCGTGCACGAAACGATGCCGTCCCCTTCCCAGCTCGCTCGCGTCGAAGCCGACCCGCCCGCTCGAATGCCCCGCCCGCCCGATCAGCGAAGTAGTGACCGCCCGCCCGATAGGGTCCGCCCGCCATGTCTAGCATGTCGCCCCGCAGTGCCAGCGATAGGTGAACTCATTGTGGAAGAGATCGACCCGCCGTCGCTCGGACGTCCATTCCCCGTGCGTTTTTCGGTTCCGTGCGAATATTTTCCGCAGGTTGGCCCAACATGCTCCTCGGTGGTCCCCGCCGGGAGAGAGCGCACACGTCCGAGCGGTGCTAAGTCGAAAAGGGGGATCCGATCCGGCGCCCCGACTGCCGAGAATCGCCCGGGCGCTGCGGGCGTGGAAGGGGGGGGGGGGGAGGGCGAAAAGGCTGAGGCGCCCCCCCCCCCCCGTGTCGAGAGCAGACGCGGAGAAGCAAAGGCCGGGTTGGGTTGGGGTGGTCTGGTGGGTGGCGACTGGGGGGGCGGAAGGGGGGGGGGCGCGGGCAACCAGGCGATCGCAGCCTCCCTGGGAGGGGGGGGGGCACAGGCTGAGGCGTCCCCTAGCATGTCAAGGGCAAGTAAAACAAACGTCGAGCGCCCCCCTGGGTAGGGCCAGCGGGCAACCAAGCGATCACGCCGCGAGAACTCGCTCGGGAAAGGGGAAGAAGGTAACCGTGCTTGTCCAGGCGCGCCCCACAGAGGACGCACAGTTACTCTTTGGCAGCCTACAGCCAAGATCCCGCCCACCCCTCACGTGATCAATACACTCCCCCTCTCCCACTGCCACGCTATCCTTTTCCCTCTCCCTCGCGCTCTCTCTCTCTCTCTCTCTAACCTTTCTTCTTATTATTATTTCCTTATCTCTCTCCATATGTGTGTATATATATACATACATACACATAGCCGGGGACCCCGGAATAAACGTCCCCCCTCCTAACGCTGGGAAGCCCGGAAAAACCTCCCCCCCCTCCCCAAAACGAATTTGACCCAACCCGGGCCTCTCGGGAGCACCCCACGAGAGCCCGAAGACGGCCCCAGAAGGCTCCAGGCGTTCCGGCGCGCTCCCCGAAACAACCCCAGAGAGCCCAAAACGGTCCACGACGACCCCCAAGAAGCCGTCGTACTCCGAAAGATCGTTCCAAAATGTCCCAAGAGGCCTCCAAGTGCACTCCCAAGAAGGCCTCAAGAGGCAAAGTCCCTTGATTTTCTGGCGGTTGTTGGTGGATTTGGGGATTCTCCTCTTTTCGACTTTCCGACGCTTCAAGGCGGCGGTCTTCTGGGCGTCCGAAGCCGCCTGGGAGGCTCTCAGGCAGTCCAAGAAAGCCCCAAGACGGCACAACAGGGTTCCAAGATGGACTAAGAGAGCCCCATGACGGCCCAAGATGGCCCCAAAACACCATCCGAAGCATTCCAAATCGTGACCCGGTCGTTCAGGGAGACCGCGGTTGGAGGCAGGGTGGCCCGAGAAAGCCCCCAGAGGCCCCCCAAAGACGCCCAGGAGGCCCCCAGAAGGCCTAAGAAAGCCAGACAAACTGATGTGAGGCCCCCAGAGGCTCTCCAAGGAGGGGCCTCCGCATAAAGAGCTGAGGAGGATGGGGAGAATGCACAGTGCATGGCGAGAATGAAGGAAAAGAAGCGTGGAGGAAGGATACCGAATTGACACGACGCTGGAAAAAGCAACACGGAGTCATCGCTAAATTGTCGGCTTGGCCTTTCTGCCGTTCCGCCTGCATGCCAAACTTCAAGGACCAAGGCGCACTGCGCGAAGCGCCACTGCAGTCTTGTGTTTATATTTGTATATAATATCGTTATTTGTCTCTCTCTCTCCCTCTCTCTCTCTCTCTCTTTCACGCTCTCCCTCTCTTTTTTCCCCTCTCTGTCTCTCTCTGTCTCTCTCTCTCTCTCTCTCTCTCTCCATCTATTTATGTATCTTTTTTTTTTCTTTTTTTTTTTTGTTCTCTCTCTCTCTCTCTCTCTCTCTCTCTCGAGAGAGAGAGAGAGAGAGAGAGAGAGAAACATACACATGAACATATAGCTGCTTATACATATACCATATTTTCAGAGCGCGCTTCGCGCGCCGAGACAATCTTGGCCCACTGACAAGAAACGCATGTCAATGTGGAGATGTTTCCTGAAATGCCGAGGCCCTTCCAAAAGTCGCTTTGTCTCTGCGCAAGGTCCCCCCCCTCGGCGGTGGTCCCGCGAATTCCGGAGTCTCTTGGCGCATGTCTTGGGAAAGTCAGAAGCTCTAGGGATATGCTGTAGACGCACGCCTAAAGTAGGACCGGGCGAAAGCCTATGGTCAGCGCGCGGGGAGGCCTTCGGGGTGGGACCACGGGCAGGCCCTCGCGGGAGGCCAAGGGATCCGAAGTGAAGGGCTGGGGTAGGTCTATGGCAGGTCAGGGTTGTGGAATATCTGGGAGCATGCTTCGGTGGCAATCGGAAGCGCGATCGCGAGGCCTTAGCCCAGGAAAGGCCTGGGCGAACGCCGAAGGAAAGCGCGTCGAGAGGATCTAAGGGCAGGCGCATGGGAAAGGTCTACCAGGAGGCCTAAGGCCCCTAGCGAATAGCGTTGGTAGGGCCATGGCAAGTCATGGGGTCAATTACAAGGGAAATCACAACAAATCTCGCCAAGAGAAACCTCGGGGTGCACCCTAGGGGCAAGCCTGGGCAAGCCCACGGGGAAAGCTTGAAGGGGGGCAGGTTGGGCAGAGGGGCGGCCCCAAGGGGGAAGCTTACCAGGGAGGCGCACTAGAAAAGGCTGGACATGGAGTCGGCCTCAGGCAAGGCCGAACTTCAAGCTTATGGAATACGCCGAAGGTCAGGTCAAGGAAAACGCTCAGGGTGAGTCTACCGCAAGCCGATGTGTTGGGCCTGAAGGAAAGCCCAGGAACAGGGCTGCGCAAACCCAAAATTGTAGGGGTGAGCCTCGGGGTTGGTCCTCGGGGCAACCTGGGGAAGCCTGGAGCATGCCTGTGTCTGAGGGCGAAGCCTCAAGGTAAGCCCGAGGCAGGCTGCGGGGCGGGTTCAAGGGGGAAGCCGCTGGGGAGGCGCACGGGAGAAGCCGTGGGAGTGGAGTCAGTCTAGTGGCAGACCCTCGCTTAAGGCTGAAGGTTCCCGAGGTGGGCCGGGGGCGAGCTTAAAAGAGAAACGGCTGGGACATGGAGGCCGCGGAGGTTCTGGGGGCACCCCGAGGAATGGAGGCGTTGTCGGGGGGCTTCGGGCGACAGGACAGATGGAGAAATAGACCCGCGCATTATCTGGCAGGCACGGGTCGGGTCACGCGGGGGCGACGTCAAGGCGAAGTCCGAACAAAATTAGCCCTGGCTCTCCCCGAAAAGGATCACTCTGGAACGAGGCGCTGCGCGAGCGGCAGGCGCGGGCGGGGTCGCGCGGGGGGCGACGGCAAGGCAAAATCCAAAGAAGTAGCCCCGGCTGCCCCCGGAAAAGCTCGGTCCAAAACGTGGAGCTGCACGAGCGCTGTCGGCGCGCGCTCAACGCTTGCCCGGCCTCTTCATGATGGTTTTCTTCCTTGGACGCGGGCTTCGCGGCGGCGCCGGTGATTTCGTCGCAGTTCGGGGCGAAGGCCTCGAAAGCGGCTCTGGGCGGCGCGGTGCTGAAAGTGATGACGTGAGCGTGCTTGCCGACGAGAACCTCCCAATCGTTCTCCGCGACGACCATGCGACTGTTGTTGAGCTCGGCGATCTGGCGCGTGCCTCCAGCGATCTTCTCGCCGTCGCGCGTGATCATGATGCGGCGCCGCGCGGCGTCCGACTTGGTGGCCCAAGCGCTCTTCTTGTCGTCCGCGGGGACCTTCGAGTTGACGTTGGGGAAGGCCTGCTGTAAG